TCTTAAAACGGGAGAGATCATTTTAATGTGACTGCTGTGGAGAAAACTGGCTAAGTTGCTCACGATATAGACAAAAAAAAAAAAAAAAAAAAAAAAAAAAAAAAGAAGAAGAAAGAAAAGTGCTGCTTCCACCTTGCTGCAAGGATTGAGGGCTCAAAACCAGCAACAGGGGCAACGCTTCAAATCCAACTCAGAGAGGAGGCAACTAGTTTCTCTAGCAGTCCATATGCAGTTGAACTTTGCCAGCAAAATGCATGCAGCCTTCAACACACCCCCCCCTAGAAAATAATGCATGCACCCCCAAAAGAGCATCTACAATTAACTGGCCCCTCATGGCCCCAAAAATGTATGTACCAATAATCTAGATCCTGGGAAAAGTGCCCCTTTTTATTTCTGTATCAATCTAAATTAATTCATGAATTAACCCCACCCTCATAAAATAATGAATGCATCCTTCCAAAGGCAGGTACCCAATAATAGTGCCGCTACAACCACACACACTAAGAAAAATAATGCATATACCAATCAAAATGCATGCAGCCTTCAAAGCAGGTGCCCACCCATCCCCTGAACATTTTATGAACCAAATAGCAGACTCCAAAGAGGCAACCCTTTGCTCCCTGCAAAAATTCATGCACCAATTAAGCATCCTACACTAAAATAAATAAATTAAATTATTTGCTGTGCTGCAAGACAACCCAGATTATGCAATGATAATCCTTGCTGGCTTGTGTTGCCAGGGGTGGGCATTGCCCAGTGATGTTACAATACATCCCTATCCTTATCCCTTGCTCTCCTGCACTGAGCTTCTTTTTGCCTCACCTCGCAGGAGACCCCCTTCTTACCTGGAGAGTCATGATGATGATAACAGTGGCAGCAGACGCAGCAATGAATTAACTTCTCCCAGGGCAGAGATGCAGTGCTTATATGCTCAGTCCCTCCAATCCTGCTCTGCAGCTCCAGTTATAGCCCCAGGCCACACAAAAGAGGCTGTACTTCGCTTTCCTCATTGGACCAGGACTGAAATGACATCAGTTCTCAGGACTTCTCCCCTCAGCAGGCGCCTGGGTTCTGTGTATGAGCTGAGACTGTCAGAACAGCAAAGCTAAAGCAGCTTGCTTACAGAAGGAGCTGGATGCAGAGAACAGCTGTTAACTACTCCTTTCTCCTTTGTGTCCCTCTCAAAGGATGCACTGGAACAAGGACGCCCTTGGCAACAAAGCCCAAATCTGTATCCTTTCTGAAATTCCTCATCAGAACGATAACTACAAATACACACTGGCTCATTTTTTATACTCCTGCGTGATGGGCTACTGGCAACAGGAAAAAGGACACTGCAGCATTTAACAAGTTATTTTGTGAAACCAACACTTCTGCCTTGCTGCCTGCTGTGAAACTGATTTGTATTAAAACCTCCATGTTTGCTGTTACACTTCGTGTGGCCCAAGGACCTCTTGTTGCCAACTGGCAAAGAGAACAAGGGTACGTGAGGGTTACAGCGATCCCCTGGGTCTGATATCTGCATACTAGTCTGCCAAAGAATGTCATGTAAGGTCTCAAATGTCACACTGGTCATCATAAGCATTGTGAGATGTATGTACGGAAAATATGTGAAGTGTTATGCATATATACTAAAAATTATGCTCCTTAGGTTTGTGAGTTAAGACAAGTCACCAAAAGGTGATCCATGTAGTCCTGGTAAGCAGTAGGAAAGAGATGATTATCTCACTCTGGCTGGTCATATGCAAATTATGTACTATATGATTCACAAAGCCCCCCACCCCCAGTTACAGTCTGAGCAAAATGCTAATCAATAGATTGCAGAGGTTGCAGGAAAAAACAACAGACAGGGTTATTCGATTTAGAAGTAAGACAACGAACTTTTGAAACTACATCTGGGATGCAGATGAACCCGCAGTTAGTTCTTCAGTCTGTGAGAACAAACTGACAGCCGAAGGGATCTCAACCAACCGGATTCAAAATGCTGGGAAAGGGGGAAGCTATCTTGTAGGAGATAGGGAATTCCTTGTTAGTTAAGTTTAGGCTCAAGAAAGTGTGTTGTGTTTTGTTTTATATTTAACCATTTGTTTCCAATATTCTCACTATTACTTGAATCTCTGTTCTTTGATAAAAAAAATATTTGTTTCTTTTCACTTATATATATAAATGCTGAGTGTTAAGCACAGTGGGGAGCCTGAGTTGACTCTTGCATCCTGGCATGTACTGTTCCTTTGGGAGTAGCAAATCTGAGAGTGTTCAGAGGAACAGGGGCTGAGCACTCCAGAGAGACACTCAGAGGACTCAGGGAGGATGGGGAGGTTGGAGTGTGCCTATCGTTTATACAGAGAGCCAGGCCTGCAGAGGCCTGGAAAGTAGTACTTGTGCTGCCAGGGGCTGGTGGTTTCATGGAGCTGATTTGACAGCTGGCACAGACAGGACTTCCTCATGCTAAGGGCAGGTGGTGGCGAGGTGTCTCACAACCTGAATACCCCTGGGAAGCATCATCCTTCCCCTAACCTCTGTCCACCTGTCCTCAGACTGTGAGATTCTCAGGGCCACAACGATCCCATCTTTAGAGTCTGGAAAGCACCTAGGGCATTGTGGGTGCTACCATAGACACATCATAACTACAAAAGTTATACAACAATCAATATACTGAGAGAGCCAGGAATCATTTTCACTGTTTTGCTAACTACAACACTTCCAGATAGTCATTCTCCATGAT